TCTGTTTATCCTGACTAACAGTATATTTCTGTTTATCCTGAGTTACGGTATAATATATATCCGATATTTTCTGTTTATCCTGACTAACAGTATATTTCTGTTTACCCTGTGTAACAGTATAATGTATTAAGATATCTGCTGCTTACCCAGGGTTATTTGGCCATGTTCTAGAACACACAGTACCACAATCCAGCTGAGTAATATATCCAAATATCGAGACATCTTCTTAACCTCTGGGCTATGAAAAAATAAATAAAAAATTCAATGACGACATCATAAACCAGTGTTAACTTTTCTATTCAACCGTTAACAAGTACAACCTTAGAAAGAGAATGATATATTTTAACTTGTTATCCTTCTTAAGAGTGGAAAGAACATATAATGTTTTTTGTTTTTTCTGTGAGGATTCCTCTGTTTTCCAACACAGGGTATTTGAGGATTCCTCTGTTTTCCAACACAGGGTATTTGAGGATTCCTCGGTTTTCCAACACAGGGTATTTGAGGATTCCTCTGTTTTCCAACACAGGGTATTTGAGGATTCCTCGGTTTTCCAACACAGGGTATTTGAGGATTCCTCTGTTTTCCAACACAGGGTATTTGAGGATTCCTCTGTTTTCCAACACAGGGTATTTGAGGATTCCTCTGTTTTCCAACACAGGGTATTTGAGGATTCCTCGGTTTTCCAACACAGGGTATTTGAGGATTCCTCTGTTTTCCAACACAGGGTATTTGACGTCAATGATATCCGACTTTAAGAGAGTTGTTGATTTTTCGTTTTTAATTTTTTTTAAATCATGGACGAAACGTCACTATTTGAAACTCATGATACAAAATCATGGACGAAACGTTCAGTACTTACAAATCATAGGCCAAACATCAGTATTTGAAAACTCATCATAAGAAAAATTCCAAGCAAATTTTCGGTTGTTATGCTCAAGAAGTATTACATGTTATTTTATAATGCATTATTTACGAAACTAAAGTTTGAGTCTGTGCCTAGCTTTCATTCAAAATGTACACTCTTTTAATGTCATAGAAGTTTGATCGCTGTACAATCGTAATAGCGTGATACATAACAAACAATGTTAACTCATTTTCAAATAATCACTAGTGTTTATGTGTATAAAAAATGTAATACACAACATAACTAGGATTTAAAAAAGATATAAAAAAAAAAAAGCTTACAACACTTACCGACTAAAGTCCTGTTTTCCGGTTTACCAGGCTCAGAATGAACTTCCGTTTCGAAATACCGCTGCGTTATCTTCCCCTACACACTTCCACTTCCGAAAGGAAACGTCTTATGATACAAGAAAAGAAGTTCCCGGAAATAATTCCGCGCCTAGTTACAATCTACTAGGAAACCTGTTAGATTTAAACTGTTTTTATTAACATCTAAATCATAGCCCAGTCCTGCTAGATTTAAACTGTTTTTATTAACATCTAAATCATAGCCCAGTCCTGTTAGATTTAAACTGTTTTTATTAACATCTAAATCACAACTCAACTTAACTTACTGTTTTTGGATAACATTTAAATTACAGCTCAACTTTACTTAACTTACTGTTTTTGATAACATTTAAATCACAACTCAACTTTACTAGACTTACTGTTTTTGATAACATTTAAATTACAGCTCAACTTTACTTAACTTACTGTTTTTGATAACATTTAAATTACAACTCAACATTACTAGACTTACTGTTTTGATAACATTTAAATTACACTCAACTTAACTTACTGTTTTTGGATAACATTTAAATTACAACTCAACTTTACTTAACTTACTGTTTTTGATAACATTTAAATCACAACTCAACTTTACTTAACTAATTGTTTTTGATAACATTTAAATTACAACTCAACTTTACTTAACTAATTGTTTTTGATAACATTTAAATTACAACTCAACTTAACTTACTGTTTTTGGATAACATTTAAATCACAACTCAACTTAACTTAACTGTTTTTGGATAACATTTAAATCACAACTCAACTTAACTTACTGTTTTTGGATAACATTTAAATCACAACTCAACTTTACTAGGAAAAAGAGTAAAGCATAAACGAACTTAATCAAACAAGAATAAGGCATAAATATTTGTAACTGATTTGTTTGATCAGCATTCCAGGGTTCGCAATATTTCCAAGTAAGGACATTGTTTCTAATATTAGACCACGCTGAACTATAACTGGGCTATGATTTAGATGTTAATAAAAACAGTTTAAATCTAGCAAGACTGGGCTATGATTTAGATGTTAATAAAAACAGTTTAAATCTAGCAAGACTGGGCTGTGATTTAGATGTTAATAAACCAGGTTAAGACTAGTAAGATTGAGCTATGATTTAAATGTTAACAAACCAGTTCAACTCCAGTAAGGCTCACTTATTGTACCTTGATCTGTACCATCTATGTGTGAAAACATAAGAGTTAATACACATAAAAATAGCCCTTCTCGCAGGCCCCCTAGTGGCACAGCGGTATGTCTGTGGACTCACAACACTAGAAAGCGGGTTTCGATAACCGTGGTGGACAGAGCACAGATAGCTCTTTGTGATTATCTACAAACAAACTTTCCCGCAGAAAATAAGTTTGAAAATAATATTTACAGTTTTCTTTAAAATGTAAAAATTTGCTGATATTGTAGCTTAGTGGTCATGCGAGTTCCAGGGACGTATTAACCAATAACCTTTCAAGTCTCGGGCCTAGTGAGCAAAAAATTGAGGGGCACATCTTAGGGATAAACATTTCAAAAGAAAATATATTTTTGAATTCTTTTTCGTAAGATGTACCCCCTCAATCCTAGTGAGTCAATCGGGAAGGAAATGATACTTTTAAAATTGTGGGCCTAGAACTCCAGTTAATTTTAATACTTCATTGTCGCCGTCTTGCTAAATTAGCCGTCCCTGTGTCAAATCCTGGTGGTGATTTATAGCTTTGTTATATTTTTTTAAGTATTAGTTTAAAGCTAGATATTTCTAATTTTAACAAATAGTTGTGTAAACAACAGTTCTTTATATTCATTATTGCCCACCACGGGTATCGAAACCCGGTTTCTAGCTGCTACTGGGGGCCATATTTATCCATGTGATGCACGGTGAGAGGTTAATGAAAATTTTTTTTTTTGGAACTATACTGGTGACAATACAAAGATTAAAAGAAGATAAAAATAAAATTATTTATGCCCATTTGGGCCTGATGATTTAAATAACGTTTTAATTCCTCTTTTGATTTTTTTAATCAAAAAGCAATAAGTAACATGTGACTTAATGTTACTTTAAAAAAAAATATGTCCCTTAATATAAGTCTTCGAAGTTTCTATAAACGATGTCTGAAAAAAAAAATCCTTCAAAACATTGATGGGATTTTAAAACGAATTGTAGAAGTTTTACCAGTTATGAAATATTTTTGCTTTCGTCCTTCGTTTGCCAGTAGTGACTGTAAGCACATCACTACTCGTAGCGGCCACCCCCCACTGACTGATCTATATTTAGCCATCACTGGAGCTATGAATTACATGCACTTTTAAAGAAAACTAACTTCTTATCCTTGACACATCCCGAATCATTTCTGGTTACTTAAACTATATTTGACGTGTCCAAATGTAAGATCATGGAGTGGGGGGCGGGGTTAGAGGTCAAACATGTACACAAACTGCTATACCCCACACCGGTAATTGTTTGGTGTTTATTACATTTCGGGTGATATATTTTAAGAGCAAAAAAAAAAAATAGAAAAATTTGAAATAAAGTAAAATTATAGCCCCTTATATTGATCTGCTGATTATAAAATTATAAATATGACTCACTGAAAATTAATTTCTTCCCTTGCAATGATATTAAAACCCTCTTGTATTTATCTTCTTTGTTTCGTTAAAATGTTTAGGAATGAACTAACCAAAGAAGCAAATGGTGTACAAAGGCTGAATACGTAAAATTATAATTAGCTTAATATGAGCGCCTCACAGCGTTGTTATAGTCCAAGTCACCACATCTAGTCATGTTCTGTCTGACGACCGTGCATCTTAACAATAGTCCTGCAGCGTAGTTTCTATTGTAAAGGGCTCTATCGTAAAGTTATGTCTAAAGCACAACACTCCTTTCTGTTGCTTTCTATAATCCATCTAGCGTAGAAGGACCTCGGTTTCCCAGCGTCCGTTTTATAGTCTATTCGCAAAGAAATCCATAGGCGCTGTGGCCGTCGACTGGACCATTATTTTTTCATATGAAATAACATGAATGTCCGTTTAATTCTTCAGCTGCTTGAGATGTGTGACGCCGAGCAGATATATCGTGAAAGCAGCTTGTGGATGCCTGATTTGCGTCGCTTTTCCAGATGGAGATCCTTCTTGTTTATGTTGCGTACTGTTCCCTTGGACACGTTGACAATGATTGCCACTGATCTTTGTATTCCTGACCTGTTACAAGACATTACAATCTGTTTACCACGGTGGGGATACGACTTGTTTCATATCCTTTTTATTTTTAGTTGTTTCAGATATGAATATATCCTTATGAGTTAAAAAGGACCCTTTCTAAAAGCGATCAATTTTCAGCAGCATCACACTACTTACGATAGATCTAATACAAGCCTTTCCACCACGACTTTATAATGGCTGTGATTGTCACGTGACTTGCTGATTTGCATGTTTAACAACGTTTTACTAAAACGTACTTAACTCTGTACTAGGACTATTTGCGCTAGCGGTCTCTAATTTTGAGCTCATAGTTTAAAATGGAAAGCATCATCCAAATGCCAACTCTTAGGCTATTCTAATCAAATAGCGTATTTACCTGTCACTTTTATGACGCACCCAAAGCTCCAATGTATGGAGGATGATTTTGCGGAATCGGAACGCGAACCATGGACCCTCGGATTCACAGTCCGGCACGCTAAACCTTGTTCTCATAGTTATTGATATGTGTACAAGGCTAAAATTTGTGGGTTTTCTTTCGATTACTTTTCCAGCCTTAATAAGAATGCGAGAAATTTCTTTCCTTGTTCTAAGTATTTTATTTTTATTAAACTGGACAGAATGAACATTAGAAAACAAAATATTGAACTTAAATGAAATGGGCAAAATTTTAGCTTGGTGGTTCAGCGGTAAACCTGGGAGCTATGATTCGATTCTTGCTGTGGATACAATAAAGTACAGATAGTCTATCACACAGCATTGCTTTTAAATAAAACAAACACTCGGCGCTTTTAATTTCGCGGAAGGACTTAGTTGTTTTCGGTTTGTTTGGTTATTTTTATTATCGTTAAACTTCTTACGTGTAAGCTCTTATTGTTAATCGGTTTGTCTTAACCTCTCAACATAAACATCTCTGTAATTTGTGGTTTGAAACACGATGACAAGAAATCCAGTGATTAAGTTTCGAAGTAAATTCTGTATTTTTCTGTTCTTTACGAAATAAACACATTCAAAAATTTGACGTGTTTGTCATTTTAATCAGAGAAGGATTGTACAGTAACTGATGTGATCTGTTTCTTTGTAGTTAAGCGCAAAACTACACAATGGACTATCTGTGCTCTACCGGTTTTTTGCGTTGGAAGTCTGCAGGCTTATCGCTGCGCCACTGTGGGGGTGGGGTATGTGACAACAAAATGAGCAGTTATTTAGTATTTAATTCAAGTCTCATCTGCAGAGTAATTAATACAGAGCTTCCGTTATCAGGCCCATTACGATCCTTTTGAACTGCTACTTTAATAGAATTTCTGAAGAATATTATCATTGTTAATTTCTGTACTTTCTCAAACAATCCACCTATTATTATTATTATTATTACTTTTGTTGTCACGCACCCGTTTCTTAAACTGATTTTAAATGTTTCTTCCGAGGTTAAACTTAAGGGAACATAAAACAATTTAATGCTAAGATGGCCCCTTATGTATATAAGGAACAAAAGTTTGTCTGCTACAGTTGTACGATAGTTGTGTTAATTTCTAATCACCATTCAGTGATAAAAGGATTTCTAAAACGTAGGTTACATTTCTTAGTTTTATTTCTTTAAACTTATTTGACGTTTTAATGAGACATTCCAAAAATCTCATGAACAGCCCTCTGTAACCCAGCGTGTATGGATTTTTGCAAAGTGGTTTCGATAATTTTTGGTATGATCTGGACAGCAGTGGTGCTGATAGTCTCTGCCAGTTTCTGAACGACACCGTCGATCCCAGTGTACGTAACCGAAGGCTTGGTAATACCGTGGATGGTAAATCTGTGTACGGTAGGTTCTGCTCCTCTTCTCAGTTCCTGTCTGATGATAACCGTAGCCATCAAGTTCATTCCCTTGATAAACATCTTCCCGCGCTTTGACCAATGAAAAAGATGTAATGTCCATTTGTAGTCGGCGGAAAAGTTGTTGATGGCTATGGGTATTTCGTGGTAAAAGGCATCCTCCGTACATTTCAGTACGGTATGGCCTGAACGGTGGAGGTCGCGCGAGCCTGTTAAAGTGCCGTCGTCCAGATCCAGAAGGTATCCCTTATGATAAACTGGAAGACGGATAGGATCCTCAATAACATCCACTACCTTCAACAGCACTTTGTCGGCATAGGGATCAGCATTGATGTCTTCCAAGCATATTGGTTTCCCTCCGTAGCCACCTAACGGCAAGAGTGAAAATTAATATGGAGGCTTTGTTTTTACTCACCGAACTCTAAAGTAGAGTACTTAATTCTTTTGATAAAACCTGTCAAAATTTCATTTTGAATTTATAATTAATAAAACTTCTACGAGCTCTTATATGTATAAATTGTTTATTTTAAAATATGCAACGTGTGTTTCTTATCATAATTTTTATAAATATTCGTACAGATGGCGCGTGACTAAAGGTTTGTTTGATATTAAGCACAAAGCTACCTAATGGGCTATCTGTGCTGTGCCCACCACGGGTATTGAAACATGGTTTTTAGCGCTATAAGCGTGCAGACTAACTGCTGATCGATTGGAGGAGGGGGACGTGACTAAAGGGATTTCTATAAATATTAGTACAAATTACACGTGACTAGAGGAATTGCTATAAATATTAGTACAAATTACATGTGACTAAAGGAATTTCTATAAATATTAGTACAAATTACACGTGACTAGAGGAATTTCTATAAATATTAGTACAAATTACACGTGACTAGAGGAATTTCTATAAATATCAGTACAAATTACACGTGACTTAAGGAATTTATTTTACTCAACAGTATTCATTTAAAAGCTTAATAAAACACAACCTAAGACTAGTAAATTATATTTTGACCTTAATAAAACACAACCTAAGCCTAGTAAATTATATTTTGACCTTAATAAAACACAACCTAAGCCTAGTAAATTATATTTTGACCTTAATAAAACACAGCCTAAGCCTAGTAAATTATATTTTGACCTTAATAAAACACAACCTAAGACTAGTAAATTATATTTTGACCTTAATAAAACACAGCCTAAGCCTAGTAAATTATATTTTGTCCTTAATAAAACACAACCTAAGCCTAGTAAATTATATTTTGACCTTAATAAAACACAACCTAAGACTAGTAAATTATATTTTGTCACATTAAGCTATATTCTAGAATATTTTTAATTATATTTTAAACGGTAAACATTATCAAACACAATTTTTCCTAAACCAGTATTTTTTTGTCACAATACCAGTGGTCGAAAATATCAAAAGTACTTGTTGAATTTCCTCTTTTTGTAACTAAGTAAATTATCCTTAAAAAAAATTCTCTGTCTCTTGATATATAAACTAGGTTGATCTGCAAGCTGAAAAAAAAACAAACTCTGTGACGTTTTTGTTTGTCTACAGATGGCACTGTTCAATGTTAAATATATAAATAATTGAAATAACAATTATAGAATATCTTTTGCTTGGTGTTTGTTTTTTTGTTTTTTTTTTAATTATGCACAAAGCTACACAAGGGCTATCTGT